CTGCCTTCGATTCAGTGGAGCCGTAGTGTTAATTCCCTGTAATGACTAGTCAGATGAGGCAGGGATGGATGGAGGGCCTGTGTTGTGACGGTATTGAGAGTGGTTTCACGGCTCTCTGCCCTTGTACATCGTGTTCTTATTGTTGTGGCTTTTTCTGGCCAGTCATGAGGTTTGGGAGTCAGGAATCAGGGATGCAGAGAACGAGTTGGAGCAGTTTTTTATTTTATTTATTTTATTTTATTTTATTTATTAGGATTAGTTGTCATGTCTCTTGCTTTTAGTGGATTTTTACATGCACACGTACATGTACACACACACACACACACACACACACACACAGACAGTCTTATACAGCTAACCTTGTGGAGACACACAATTCAGTCCCATTCAAAATCCTATTTTCCCTAACCCCCTAACCCTAAGCCTAACCCTAATCCTAACCCATACTCTTACCCTAACTGTAACCCTAACCCTAACCTTAACCCAAAAACCTAACCTTAACCCTAACCCTAACCCTAGCTCCTAACTCTTAATGTAATTCTAACCCTAACACTAAGTCTAACCTTAACCCTAAATCGTTTGTTTGTTTACTATTCTTGTGGGGACTTCTGGTCGCCACAGAAATAGTTAAACATGTCCACACACACACACACACACACACACACACACACACACACACACACACACACACACACACACACACACACACACACACACACACACACACACACACACACACACACACACACACACACAGATATTTTCATGAATTTTTATGTGCATGCCAATTGTGATCACTTTCCCCCATAAGTACAAGAATCTGACTGGTATGATTAATACATTACAGTGTGAAGGACAACATATAATCCTGACAGCTGAGTTCACTGAGAAAAACTATTAATATATTAATACATTACAATGCCAAATGTCTCCTGTGACCAACTGTTAAATGACTTCAATTCATTATCAGTAAATGGTCACCTATTGTATGGATATCCACTATAACTTGATGGTTCTGACTGCATAAAGGACTTGACAGCCTAAAAATGCCTCAAGCATTTGTGGGTCAAGCACCTGTCAGTTTAAAGGCAAACTGACAAAGCCGTGCTGAAATACATCAGACTGTATGGGGATGGTAGAGTATAGAGGGGGAGGATACTGGAGACTGGTTTTATTATCTGAGGTGATGTCAAGCTGTGCATGGGCAGCAAACAAAGGAGAATCTCTGAGTCTTCTGAGAGCGGCCGGAGGTTAGGAGGACTGTGTTCAAGCGTAGGCCTACTGCAGAAAAAACATTGTTCCTGCACCAGATCAAAACAGTCTTTGCCAGAAAATTCTGACTGATGATTGTAGCTATGTGGATCCAGTACAGCCTTGCAAGACTCAACTGGCTGAAAACACATTTTTGCATAACAACAGCTATAAATCTGCAAAGAGGAAGTGTTTTCCAGTGCCCTGCCCCAAACAATCAAGAATATAATCACTTCCTCCTTTCTCAGCAGCTCCCATTACTCAGCACTCAACTGGCTTTACTGTTACTGATCAGGATCTTCACTCCTCCACCTCCAACCACGCCCCATCATCTGGAGAAGTGGGTCAGCGTAAAAGTAAGGCGGAACATGCAGACAGACTGACACAGTCATAACTGTCACGATCGTCTGAAGGATGAGACCAACGCGCAGCGCGTGTACCGATAAACATGATGACTTTATTTTAATTAAAGTGCAACACGAGAAAAACAACAAAATACGATACGTGAAGTTCACTACTGATACAGACAGCAACACGGAAACAAAAACCCACAAACCCCACAGGAAAACATACAGAAATAAATATGGCTCCCAATCAGAGATAACGAGCCGAACAGCTGACACTCGTTACCTCCGATTGGGAGTCATTGAACAAACCTAGAAAAACAACAACCTAGACACCCAACATAGAACACAAACACATAGACTGCACACACCCTGGACAAACAATAATGAGTCCCAGCACCAGGGTGTGACAGTACCCCCCCCTAAAGGCGCGGACTGCGACCGCGCCTCAAAACCCCCAAACAGGGGAGGGCTGGGCGGGCATACCTCCTCGGTGGCGGTTCTGGCTCCGGCCTAGACCACCACCCCACCATAGTCACTTCCCGCTTATGTAGCCTCCTCCAAATGACCCCCACTGGTTTAAGGGGCAGCACCAGACTAAGAGGCAGCACCGGACTAAGGGGCAGCACCGGACTAAGGGGCAGTACCTGACTGAGGGGCAGCACCGGTCTGAATGGCGGATCCTGGCTGGCAGAAGGCTCTGGCTGATCCTGTCTGGCAGAAGGCTCTGGCTGATCCTGTCTGGCGGAAGGCTCTGGCTGATCCTGTCTGGCGGAAGGCTCTGGCTGATCCTGTCTGGCGGAAGGCTCTGGCTGATCCTGTCTGGCGGAAGGCTCTGGCTGCTCCTGTCTGGCGGAAGGCTCTGGCTGATCCTGTCTGGCGGAAGGCTCTAGCGGCTCCGGTCTGGCGGACGGCTCTGAAGGCTCATGGCAGACGGGCGGCTTTGCAGGCTCAGTACCGACGGGCAGCTCCTGCGGCGCTTGGCAGACGGACAGTTCAGACGGCGTTGGGCAGACGGGCAGTTCAGGCGCCGTTGTGCAGACGGGCAGTTCAAGCGCCGTTGGGCAGACGGGCAGTTCAAGCGCCGTTGGGCAGACGGGCAGTTCAGGCGCCGTTGGGCAGACGGGCAGTTCAGGCGCCGTTGGGCAGACGGGCAGTTCAGGCGCCGTTGTGCAGACGGGCAGTTCAAGCGCCGTTGGGCAGACGGGCAGTTCAAGCGCCGTTGGGCAGACGGCAGACTCTGGCCGTCTGAGGCGCACCGTAGACCTGATGCGTGGTGCCGGAACTGGAGGTACCGGGCTGAGGACACGCATCTCAGGGCTAGTGCGGGGAGAAGCAACAGGGCATGCAGGACCCTGGGGACGCACATAAGTCCTAGTGCGTGGTGCCGGAACTGGTGGTCCCGGGCTGAGGACACGCATCTCAGGGCTAGTGCGGGGAGCAGCAACAGGGCATGCAGGACCCTGGGGACGCACATAAGTCCTAGTGCGTGGTGCCGGAACTGGTGGTCCCGGGCTGAGGACACGCATCTCAGGGCTAGTGCGGGGAGTCGGAACAGGGCATGCTGGACCCTGGGGACTCCCATAACGCCTAGTGCGGGAAGCCGGAACAGGGCATGCTGGACCCTGGGGACTCACCTCCCGCCTAGTGCGGAGAGCAGGAACAGGCCGGGCGGGGCTGGCGACGCGCACCGTCTCCCTGGTGCGGGTGGCCGGAACAGGCCGGGCCGGGCTGGCGAAGCGCACCGTATCCATGGTGCGTGGAGTAGGAACAGGCAGGGCTGAGCTGGCGACGCACACCGTATCCCTGGTGCGAGTGGCCGGAACAGGCCGGGCCGGGCTGGCGAAGCGCACCGTATCCCTGGTGCGTGGAGTAGGAACAGGCCGGTCCATACCGGGAACACACACCACTGGCTTCAACCGAGGATCAGGAACGGGCCGGACCGGACTGGCAACACACCTCAGTCCTTCACGCCGTGCCACACACACATCCCTGCCTCTTCTCGCCAATGGCTCCCGTACTCCGTTAGCCCTCTCACCTATACTCCCTGTGGCAGCCTCCTGCTGCCCAGCTGCCCAAGCCATGTGCCCCCCCCAAAAAATTTCTTGGGGTTGCCTCTCGTCCTTCCGACGAAAAACCTGCTGCCGCCGATGCTCCTCTCTTGCCAGGGCCTTGATCTTCCCCCAAGGTCCCTTGCCCCCGAGCATGTCCTCCCAGGACCACGATTTGCCCACCTGGGCCATCGCCAGCCTCTCGATCTCCTTACCCGGCGCCTCCACCCATGTCCAGTCTCTTTGCTCCTGTACACGCTGCTTGGTCTTGGTATGGTGGGTTTTTCTGTCACGATCGTCTGAAGGATGAGACCAACGCGCAGCGCGTGTACCGATAAACATGATGACTTTATTTTAATTAAAGTGCAACACGAGAAAAACAACAAAATACGATACGTGAAGTTCACTACTGATACAGACAGCAACACGGAAACAAAAACCCACAAACCCCACAGGAAAACATACAGAAATAAATATGGCTCCCAATCAGAGATAACGAGCCGAACAGCTGACACTCGTTACCTCCGATTGGGAGTCATTGAACAAACCTAGAAAAACAACAACCTAGACACCCAACATAGAACACAAACACATAGACTGCACACACCCTGGACAAACAATAATGAGTCCCAGCACCAGGGTGTGACAATAACAGTCTGGATGGGTTACATGCTCAGGTCTGGAGTGATGCCAATGTCTTGTAAATCCAGAGGGCTGTTGGTGACACGCCCTGCCATAACCCCATCTCTTCAAACAGCCTTGACACATCGATTATGTCAAAAATACGTGTTTTTATATATCGTTCTTTCTACCCATAAACCTCTTTATTTTTCTAAGACTGGGAAGCTGATGTTTAACCAGATTATTTTTCCACATTACAGTTTTGGTGTTTAAGGGTAGGTCTTCCCTCACCTTTTAAAGCTGATTTTCATACCTTAAAGGTGAAGCCATATCGTGAATGGTGCAAAAGATTTTTAAAGAACATATGACTTAAGGGCGTGAGATATGACTGGTTAACTTCACTAGCAGGAAATACAGACTTACAGTAAAGCATTGCAATGCAGGTATTCTGTCACACGACTGACGGTAAGGAGCATCAGAGAGTTTATAGAAGGGGAAAGTAGCAGATCTGTTATTTCAAAGCTTTACAATGACGTTAGGCTGTAAC